TCCCAGCTACTCGGGAGGCTGAGGCAGGAGAATCGCTTGGACCCGGGAGGCGGAGGTTGCAGTGAGCCGAGATTGCGCCACTGCACTCTAGCTTGGGCGACAAGAGCTAACACCCAGTAAAAAAAAAAAAAAAAAAAAAAAGTACAAGGAAAAAGTCGCAGTATCGCCAGAGCCAGAGCCAGGAATACAGACAGAGCGAGCTGAGAGGGAGCGCGCGCGCCGATGACGTCACTCTCGGCGTCTCCGCCATCTTGGCTGTAGACAGAGGCGGCAACTTGGGCAGTGCGGTGCGCGTGCGGCCGTATCGATGCTGAGGCTCGGAGGCCGTGGGCTTTTGTTGGGACTGGCTGTAGCCGCAGCAGCGGTGATGGCAGCACGGCTTATGGGCTGGTGGGGTCCCCGCGCTGGCTTTCGCCTTTTCATACCGGAGGAGCTGTCTCGCTATCGCGGCGGCCCAGGGGACCCGGGCCTCTACTTGGCGTTGCTCGGCCGCGTCTACGATGTGTCCTCCGGCCGGAGGCACTACGAGCCTGGGTCCCACTATAGCGGCTTCGCAGGTATCAGCGAGGCTGCTCACGCCTTTCCCTCCGCTGGCGCGAGCCGGTAGCCACCTGCGCGTGGTTCGTTCATTATTCATCTGTTTCGCCCGCACCCCCCACCCCACCCCACGTCCATCAAACCCGCGCGACGGGCGGTTCCGAGCTGCACCATCCTTCTGGGCTCTCTGGCTCTGGCGGGACTGTGGGCCAGCTCTGTCATTCACCACCGCCCTGCATGACTTATGTTGGAGAAACATGTCTTCTCTCTTGGTAACCATTACCCACCGTCGGAAGCCGAGGATACGGGCTGTGTGCCAGACTTCTCAGGGCACAGACAAATGAGATCCCGCCCCGCCTCTACCCTCACAGTTTCCTTACTAATTCCAACCATTTCTTCATTATGCCCGGGTCCGAAATAATCTGTCTTCCCCCCCACCCCTTAGCGTGTTGTTTTCAAGGTTCATCCATGGTTTATGAGCATGCCTCAATACTTCATTCCTTTATGGCCGTCATGTAGTACATTTGGTCTGAGTCATTCCTGCTTCTAGTACAGATGCACCTGTTTGCTTTCCTTAGAAAAGATTATGAGGTTAGGGCACAGGAAAGGGGTCCAATCCCCTTTACAGTCCTTCATATGTAGAACAAAGCTGTACATATGTTAGGCCTCAAGGAACATTTGTCAAATTAAGTTTATGCTGGTGTCCCTGTTTTACAGCTGAGGGGATTAAAGGATGTGATTTGCCTAAAACCCTCACACCTGAGTACTGACAGAACATGGACTTGGACCACCAGCCTAGTGCTTTTTTACAGGTGTTGCCTTGCCAGCCAGCGGGACTGACCTCCAAAATTTAAAAAGAAAAAAAAGTGCAGGGCAGGCCTAAGATCAGCTACTAGGCTGATATTAAAGAAGCATTTTCCACTTGTCATTATCTTAGGGGAGTTGGGAAGCTCCCTCTAGCACTTAAAATACAAGCCCTTTCCCTCTGTCTGGGGAGTACTTCAGAAATACAAGGGTTGACAGAAAAGGAATGAAGTCCAGTTGGTCTCGCAAAGCCCCTGAGATAGTCCAGCAGGGGAAAGGACTTACTCAGGGCTACACAGTGAGTTAGAAGCAGAGCTGGGACTGGAATCAAAGTGAAGGCAGTTTTCGTTGCACTGCCCTATCCCGTGCTGTTGGAGATGTCGTTGGATGTTTGCACAAGTGTGGGCATAAAACCTTCGATTTCTGGAGTGCTTTTTCTTTTTTTCTTTTTTTTTTTTT